GAGGACGCGGAGGTTTTCCCCGTTGGGGACCAAATCATTACATTATTCTTGTGATTACGAGATGGCAGAAGAGTTCGGCAACCGTTCAGCCGAGACACAGATATCTCGAGATAGTTATTGAGAATTTATTATCAAATTCGGATCAAATTTGTTTACCAGAAGTAAGTGACAAAAACAATGTTTAATTTTATTTTATTTTATTAATTGATAAAATGGCCAATTGTTTAGCGTTTTGTGAGCGGAGACGACTTGTTTGGAGAGATTCAACAATTATTTTGTACGGAATCCGAGTCCAGGCGTTGGGTTTTGCCGGAAGTGATCAACTTTTTCAAGAGTGTCTGTTCGGCGACCGATGAAAATGGGTTTCAATTCAAACTAATTCAAAACGGATATATCGATGACTATATGAATACAGACAACGCGTGGAAAGAGGCGAAGGTTTGGCACATTCACTACGAGTGTCGCGAATATCTTAAGAAACGTTTTGTCGACAAAAGGCTTAACTGGAGATTACTGTCGGACAATGTATTTTCTAAAATGCATTTAAGTCAGAGTCATATAATGAAATCAATAGCCGAGACGCTAAACGCCGATATTGTTTAATATTTATTATTTTATTAATTACAGAATATTCTTATTTATAATTTTATAATCAATTTTAATCACTATATTATTGTAATTTTATTCAAATAACAAACACTTAAATATATGTTGTGTTTATCAGTGTCATTGTATTTATAATTTTTTAACAAAAAAAGCCAAAGCACTGATCCCGAAGAATAATAGCCACAGAATTGTTACCATAAATCCTACCACAACCTGATAGTGGCTGAGACCCCATCCCCTTAATAATATAGATCTAAGCGATTCAATGGCCAAACTGGAGGGCAATATTTGGCTGAAATATCTTAAACCCGTTGGCATACTCTCCAACGGCCAGAACATACCGCCCATTATGACCGTCGGGAAGAAAGCGCCGATACATAGAGTGGTTGCGTACATTTCGTCCGGACACAGCGATGATATCATGAGACCAAACATGAGTCCACAGCAGCCCTGGAGGAATGTGAGCGCCGACGCCGACACAATTGATCCCATGTTAGGCACCGCGAAGACGGCGAACGCGAGCACTAGTTTGAGTCCCACTTGAAATGATAACATAAATAGTTGCAAAATAATGTGCGATAAGACAAACTCCAAGGGCTTCACTCCGGCCACGAGATTCCTGTCCACTAAGCCGTCGGTGCGCTCTTTGATCAACAGATGACAGGTGACAGTCGTTGTGGCGAAATAGGCGACAACAATGAGAGCACCGGGAGATACAAACGAGTTGAACGACGGGTTTTTCGTGCCATAAACAGGTGGTCCGTTGTTTATTAACGGTTTCATTGAATCCATAGTTGTGTTGTGTTTTTTACCCAAATTATTCATAAAAGTTAAATACGTTTCCGACAAATAACTCTGGATTTGATTACCGATCACTTGATTAGACATATCTATACGGAGTTGTATTGAACTCGCGGTTATAGTGTCCTTGTCTTCGGACCCGAAATACAATCTATA